ATATACTTTAAAATATGTTTAACCGGTTTTTTGTTGTTGTTTTTTTTTTGTTGTGGGGGGGGGGGGTATTGTTATTTTTTTTTTAATGTAGGATTGACAAGAAGAGGTAGATGTTGGTTATCGGTTAGGGTAAGCGGGGCAGTGGATTACCCGGGCCTGGAAGCTATATGGATCTATATAGTTTTTTTTAAAGATAATTTCTTGTTAAAATTCTATGCTTTCGTAGCAGTTGCATTTTATGTCTGTTGTGAAGTTAAACTTTTCTTTGGACAAGGGAATTGCATAATATTTGCAGATATCAGTAATTGAAATTTTTGTCTAATTCGTTAATACAACACACAAGCAAGTCAAAGCTCATATTTCTAAAATAGTATTTCTTTTTTACATTTGGATTTTAGTTACTTTTTGACTGGGCACGTAACGCCTTTTCGTCTTGTCGCAATACGACAAAGCACCAAAAGGTGCGTTGTCACGCTGTCGTCTTGTTGCCCTTTTTCTAGCGCGGCACGCCAAACGGCGCGTTGTCGTGCGGCGTGTTGTCGGGATGTCACATTGTCGCTCGGTTCAAATTGAAGGATTGGCATATAAGCCAGCGAAAGGGCGACATCGCGCCGCACAAAAACGCACATTTTGGTGTGCCGCGCTAGAGACAGGACCACAAGACGACAGTTCGCCGTTTGGCGCTTTGTCGTGTTGTCGCTAGCGCAAACTAGACGCGCAAAAGCGTACCAAATCAGTCACCATAATGTGCTTGAGTTATCCTCCCTGTATTATTATACGACTATAATCCTCCGCCCCCACCAGCAAAGCTATTCAAAAAGTGTATTCTCACGTCTGTAAGATATTGTGGCTGATTTGGTACATTGCGCGTTGCGTTGTCGATAGCAACTTTTTGTCTTGTTGATAGCAACAACACGACAAAGCCCCAAATGGCATATTGTCGCGCTCATGTCTTGTCGTCCTGTCTGTAACGAAGCCCTAACCAAACGGCGCGTTGTCATGCAGCGTGTCATGCGGCGTGTTGTCGCGATGTCGCCCTGTCCCTTGGCTTATATTAAGCCAATCCTTCGATTTGAACCGAGCGACAATTTGACATCGCGACAACACGCCGCACGACAACGTGCCGTTTGGAGTACATCGTTAGCGACAGGACAAGACGAAAATCCGACAACGCGCCGTTTGGCTAGCGCCTACACGACGCACAAAAGTGTGCCAAATCAGCCACAATAGTAAGATAACTGTTACTTTCGACATGGATTTAGTGCAGTTGAAATATACGGTGTCCTTCTTGGGACAATTAAAGAACTGCTATTGACATGCTCGATTTTTTCGTAAAGTTTTGTCCGCCTTTCTGTATTTATATAGATAAAGTAGCACATACTGCAAGTGCAGGAAAATTACTATTATTATTTTTTTTTATTTAAAAATTGATAAGCAAATGTTTTTTGTTTGTTTTTTTTTCTCTTAAATTTGATGTCGAATTCTATTTGCTACTTTGTTTTTGTATCCGCCTTAATATTTGTAATTGCTCATGTGTATAGTGTTTAAACATGTTTTCGTTTCTATATCTTATAATGCTTAAGGGAAGGACAGTTACTAATGTTGCTAGAACTTGTTGTTCAACCCTTTTGCCCTTTGTTTAAAAATGTTGTTTTGTGGAAATAATGTTATAAATTGTATTCAAAGAGCAATAAAATATTATTAAACTAAAAGATAAAGTAGCAAGATTTTACATTCTCACAAAATACTTTTTGCGCCATTCAACATTGAATTCACTTAAACTAGAGATTAAGTCAATCTTAACAGGCGATATTTCACTGTCTCAAACAGGACACTATAGAAACCGATGGAAAGTAGTGCTCATCTCATGAGAATATTTAGTTTATCGAGAAATTGGATGGCCATTTCCAGAACCAAAGTAACTGTTGATTTTAGCATCGACGAAACTAACATTGTTCGTTGGAAGATGGTACAAAACAGTTTTTTTATATCGTCTGACATTCTATAAAAAACAACATTAACTTGACATTAACTGTACCCACATTCTGTTACAGCCATTGAAACATTGTTTATCATAAATGAAAGTGAATTGTGTCCGATTGACTAAGTGCACGAAAGTTCCGTGCGAATACAATTTACCTACACCTTTCACTGCCCAAAGCTTATAAAAGCCTTGCAAATATTTTCTATAGTTTTATATTTTCAACGTGAACATACATAGATCTATTTATAATTAAATGTGTTTATTAATTTATCGGTTCTTTACAACTAAACGTCGTATAAGTCAGATACAGTTACTCGTATTTTCTTCAAAATTGTCTTCTTATGTCTGTAAGAAGACAATATTGAAGGAAAACGCGTACTGTATCCATTACATATTTGTGTCGGCATGCTTGTATTTCTCCTTTTTGTTCCAGTTATTGATAGACTATTATAAAACTTAAAGATAACTTTAAGCACAACAATTTAAGATTTTTGCCGTTTCAGTTTTGAAGTCTCGGCTTCGATTCCTTACTCTTCCAATGTATTTACTCAAATTCTTTAGTTAAAACAATATTTTATTTATGAACATTTCATTTACATGATGATTGACAAATATTTAATTGCACGGATTGAGTAGGAAGCTTGAATTTTTTTAGAATTCTCTCCGTAAGCACGATCTCAAAGAGTATGTATAAAATGGTAACAATATATATGCATATTTGTGTTAAATATACATAACATTTTCACTATAAACTTGTTTCTTTACATGCATGATAAAGTCAGCAATTTGCACTCAGGTCGTTCTAATCGACCGAAAGACTTCAGATTCTTTCGAATGTGACCGTGGTCCAATGTGTTTACACCGGACACACAAAGAACCAGGTTTGCTTCTAGAACTGACTAGTATTTATGCATTTTCCCCCAGTTTGTAATTAATATATATACATCTACATGCTTCGCCCAGATGGGCAACAATAAATAAATACAAATAAAATTATTCACCATTAGGTTATTGATCATGACGCGGTGCAAGTCTAGTGCAAATGTATACGGTGCCACAATTTTCGGTGCGGACCCATGATGCGGTACCCAAGAACTCGGTCAGTTGTCACGCTTTTATGACTTTTTTAAAGAAATTAAAATAGCTTAAATTTGTGTGCACTATTTTTTGTATGCATATCTTTGATGCTTACAGTTATATCAAATAAATATTTTGATTGACAATATAATTTTCTCCTTTTAAAAGTTTTCCAAATGGTCATTTTCCCCAAGCCAGCTCTAGCTGTTTTCATTAAAACAAAGAAATCGTACAAGTCTTTGATAAAAACTAGGTAAAGACATAAGCTTCAATGATCATGATATTCCGTAGACCCACTTTTATGAATACATTTACTTCAAAAGGGTGACTTTCAGGTCGTTTTCTATCATGCATGTTGTGTTTCAGTGTTTGTTTTGTCTAAAATGATACGGTGCTGGACGCAGGATGATAAATTATCGACGGTACGCGGAAAAATGATGCGTATACCCTTGACACCGTGTATATATATACCCCACTAACCCACGAAATACACGTGCACCGTTAAAAGAAAATATTTAAGGTATCACTCCATATTTAACTTAAGGTACAGAAACCATACATAAACACTCATTCAAGCTATATCCGATACAAGAATAATTTCATATAGTAGCAGTCAAAACACAATATTGACTTAAAATTATTGGTATGTCTTCAGTCAAATTTTAAATAATATTATAATAAACTGAAAGTCGGGTGTTTTATATACATAACTATTGTAATAACTGACTTGTTATGACATATTTTATCTCTTAACAAAATTGGACTGTATTTTATATAAGTTAAATAATGACCTGCCATGTTTTAACCTATATTGAGTTGCATTCTATATTAACAAGGTAAATTCTGCTAATTAGTCCACCTCATAATCAAAGATGAGACAAATAATACTATAAAGATGCACATTTTGTTTGAAAACCTATATTTTTTTACCCTTTAATAACGAGCTTTTATTGGCAGAGGTGTCACTATTGGCAGATTTTAAAAGTTGATATCATGTGATGTTTTAATATGCATTTTAATATGTACTGTATTTGCATATATGAGCCGCGTCACGACGAAACCAACATAGTGTGTTTGCGAACAGCATTGATCCAGACCAGCCTGCGAATCTGCACAGTCTGATCAGGATCCTTACCAACTCTATTACAAGTAGAGAAACTGATAGCAAACAGCATAGATCCTTATCAGACTGCGCGCATGCGCAGGCTGGTCTGGATGCGAACGCCCTATGTTGGTTTTGTCGTTACGCGGCTCATATATGTGTATGTACTTCATATACACACACATATATATGCCCATAACATAACAGAATATAGTTTTAATTGATTAAATATGTAAAATATCTTTAGTCTCTTGTAATTCTACTCAAAGAATAGCTATGTACAATGTAATGTTTATCTTTTATGTTGAAATATATGTAACTGTACACAGATGAGACTATAAATAAATAAATAATATAATACGTAAAATAAAGACGACAATTATCGAGTTGAAATTGTTGAAACAGTTAAAAAGTAATCCCTGGTCTATAGAGAGGGTGAGAGAGACTAGGCAAAATTTAAGGGTACTAAATTTCCCCCTTTAGAGGCGATTACTATCGCGTATTTACTAGCGAAATTTTGTGGACGAAATAGAACACCGTGCACAACCCATAATATCATAATGGTACGACCGAATAATGAACATGGAAATTTAACTTCCGCGTCCAAAGTTGACGTGTTTAGCAACGAAATGTAAACATTCGACAGATAACGTTTGGATCGGAATAATATATTATGACTTACATGATCATTGTTTAGTTAAATCAGTTTAAAATCCGGACTTGTTTCATTGAAATATCTAAGTTTGTGAAGTCGCTGAATATTGACCTCAAGATTAAAATGTATGTACATGTATATATGTAATTTCTCAAATAGGGACAATATAATCGTTACACAAAATGGCGGATAGTGGAAGTAAAATAGGAGAGGATGATAAAGTTCCCGGTCGTGTGAAGGGAAACTTGTGTCAACCATGTTTAAGTAAGGATAAGCAAAATGTAGCTGACAAGTTTTGTTCAACTTGTAATGAATTTCAATGTAATGATTGTTCAAATGTACACAACGTGCTCGCCATCTTAAAAAACCATAAACTGGTGGGCGTGAAAGAAGCTAATGCTTCAACTACTTTGTTTGAAATGGAGAACTTAGATTTATGTGATCAACATCAAAAACTTTTTGAATTCTTCTGTGAAGATGAAAAGAAGCTTTGCTGCAGTACTTGTGCTATTGTAAATCACCGAAAATGTCACAGCGTTGTAGAAATTGAGAAGATTGCCGGAAAAATACATCACCAATTTCTACCCTTAGGGGAGAAATTAAAGGAAGCTAAAGAAAGCTGCTTGAGAGCGTTGCGAGACATATTTTGCTCTTCAAAAGATCAACTTGCTGAAGATATAAAAGAAAATACATGTAAAGATTAGACAAATGCGAGACGAAGTAATCAGAAATATTTGACGATTTAGAAGATTCCATCGCCAAGAGAGCTAAAAATTATTCAGAGAGCAACATTCGAGAATCTGTCAAAGAAACAAACACAAAACAAGAAACATTTGGCTGATGTTACATCGTGCTTAGAGACGATTGAAAGTATTTTCAAAAATGGAACTCCAGTACAGAAATATATAGCGGAACATAAAATGGAGAGTAACGTCAATACTCTCTGCAGAAACACCAAAGAAGAATGTCAGAACTTAGAGACGGTAAACATATCTTTTCATTTTGACGAAACATTAAAACTGCCGCCATTGCAAATTACTGAATATGTTCCAGGACAATTATTATTAAAATCTACTCGTCAGGGAGATGTTAATTCTGTTAATAAGGCGATGAAATTAACACCAATTTCTGCTATTTCTTTGAAGAAGACGGGAGATGATATCAATGAAACGTTATATTCTGGTGTAGATTTTCTACCTGATGGTAGACTGGTGGCTGTAGATAACATAAACAAGAAATGTTTAGTGTACAATGAGAAAGCTTGAGAAAGTAGGATCATACCAGCTATCTTACCACCCATTATCTGTTGCTGTAATATCTGAGAAGGAAGTAGCGATTACACGCGGTATAGGATACAAAAATAGAATTTCTACATGTTAGCCAAATGTAATGAAATAAGGTCTAGTAAGATATGTAACGTGAACACGAAATATTACTCTATATGTTTGAAAAAGATGATAGACAGTTTGTAGTAGGGACTTTTTTGATGAACCAAGACCTGTTCGTATTGTATCATTGACAGGAGAGGAGCGTGATTTTAGTGTTAACTTTCCAAACAAGACATATCCTATAGACACTAGCGCTTAGTACTTACATAAAGAGCAGTGACAAAGTGGTGATAACAGATAAAGACGAGCATAACTGTCTACATATATGATATCAAGACAGGCACAAGAAGTCGTAGTGAAAGGATGAACCAGATACAAAGAACCACGGGTGGTCCGACAGTTGGCCCCCTCTGATACTATCCTGGGTTTTGTAAATGTTGAAAACAAACACCATTGTACAGATATCACAAACAGGTCAGATATTATCATCGTACAAGTTAGATATGACATATCCATGGACAGTGTGTGTCTCGCGTGATAAATCTTTTCTTGTTGTTGCAAATAACTGTCCTGGATATATGAAAATGCAGAAATTCAAAATATCATGTTAGTAACACAATCTTCTGTTTCACATAGAATTAACACACCCATGCAAAGTTATTAAAGAATGAAACAAGAATTTATCGGTTACATCTGATGGGTCGATCATGGAATAATACTTACGTTCTAGCATCGAAGTAGCTGTTCATAAAGAAGACATTCAAATAGAACAATATGCTGAGAAAAAGTGTGCTAACAAATATGAAGTTAATTTATGCTATGACAGACATATTTAACAGCGCTAACATCAGGTGCAAATAATTCAATATTAATCATTCCAATGATTTCAATTGATATATTAATTTATTTCATTTTAGGCACACGTGCGTTAAATTTGAATGTCATCTATCAATCGACAGATTGTACTTTTCACGTGCAGACTCAATCGAATACAGTTTGCAAGTTTCATGCAATTTTATTGGGATTTTTGTTTCCGAAGACTTTTTTATTTAGCACGGCATACATGTAAAGTAGTTATGTTGTGTACCATAGTTATCTTATTTGTTTTAATCATCACATAATGTTGACTATACAATTATGCATTTGTTTGTATATATAATTTTTTTTTGGTTCAAGGATTAGTGATCTAATGTCACTACTCGTAGATTCTTTAAATACTATTAACCCTAATACCCTGCCTGACCTGAAAGTGATTAGCCTTTGCCACCAGTATACAGCTAAGCCAGCATGTACATTCGAGCATTTTCTATTCTAATACTGAAATATTTAACACTTCAAATGGACTGTACCAAAAAATGCGAATCTTTTTCACAAATTAAGCAGGTACAGGATTAATAACAAGATAGTTGATAAGATAAAATTTACATCAGTTTCTTGGCTTTAGGCTTGACTCTTTTATTATAAAATATATCATAATATAGTAGATATGTAAAGAATTATTGTTAGCCATTGCATGAAAATTATGTTAGAAAATGTATATATTTTAATGTGTCTTATTATATACCTTATATCATGTTCTCCAAGATGAATAAATATAACTATCCGCAGTTATAGTATTTGTGTTTTATATCTTGATCTAAATATCATATACTATTCCTTCCGTAAATATTCAAAAGGGAAGAAAATAAAAAAAGCGTAACGTAAGAAATATATTCCCTTGGTGTATCGTGACATTGTTATATAAATGCAGATTTTAAAACAAATGTTAAGTGCGTTTTAGGTCAAATTAAATAGATCAATCCATCGTATTTTCTCTTCAGAATGATTTTCAAATGATCAATATTGTCAAACACAAACAATGCTTAAAGTGCAATTAATTGATACTTGAATTAACGAATTCACGATTTCAGCAACACGAATTCATGATTTCAACTTAATGAAATTAACGTCATGATTTTACGTTTTCGGTTTCACAATATCAACTTTACAAATTCAAGATTTCAATTTCACGAATTCTTGAAAAAAAAATAATGATGATGAGTTCGTGATTTTGAGATCGTGAATTTATGAAATTAAAGTTTCATCACAATACAAGAGGGTGTGAATTAAAAACCTTTTAATTTTGTCAGCAGGTAAAATTTCAAACATCTTTCATTCACCACAAACAAATATGCTTCATATTGGACAACTTATTTTATTATTTCAAAAGGACAATGCAGGAGATGAGAGACAAAAAACGAAGATCGGTCATCTTTGAATATAATATATACGTGCTGAAACTATTTTATTGGTATATAAATGGGTGACATTTGACTAAAAGCTATATTCATGTCAAATGATATAAGCACGTGAGCATAGCCCAGGGAAAGGCATGCAAAAATGTTTTTCAATAGTTCGTTGGAACAGGTTCCAATTCCGGTCTATTTATGCAATGTTCAATCGATATACGTCCCCGTACGCTCCCTTCGCAGCTTACTGAATACACTCCCGTTACTTCAGAAGTGAGAAGTAAGAAGTGAGCGATAGTGGAACATTCGACCGATGCGCAGGAGAGTAACGTCCCCGGTAATAATGCCTGAAATGAAAACAGCCGTAGTCTAAAAAAGTAGATCTAGACCCAATACGTAAACTACAGACTTCTTTATGCAGTCTTCAAAATCTCTGACCAACTTTCAAATTTCCATTGTGTTAAATACCGTCCATAGATTTCTCGTTTTGTTTTACTTGGGTGGTTACCCAGCTTTTCATGGAATGCCACTGACGTGCCACATTGAAGGTTCCATGATCATCGCCGTATGATGTTTCTTAGTGGCGGGTTCAGGGCTTGGATCTAGGGTCGGAGCCCCCACCCAACTTAGCCCAAAGTTCATGAGCTGGGATATATTCGTGCCAGTTTCATGCAATATTGGTCACAGTGTACACCCTTATCAAAACATTTAATGCGGTCATCAGGATGTTGATAACATGCCTGTGTGTTTGTATTTGAATTTATTTATACTTGCCACTGGTTGCCCGTTTGGATAGTCCTCCGAAAGAGTATTAGTCATTTTACATTTTAGAGGACACAGATACAGAAAGACTATCCAATTCCAAAAGATTCTCCTGGTTCTTTTACGTGCCAAGTGTTTAAGCAGTCATACATATGACTTCGATTTAAAATGTCACACGAAAGACTGATTAGTGATTCTAGAGGAAGGGAAAGAACCAAAATTTGAGTTAAAAGTATCGCGTTTAAACCTTTGAGCTTAGCAGGTGGTCCCCTCCCCGGGGGTGATAGAAATTTTTTATCTTTCAATGCTTAAATCTTGCCCCAATAAAAAATTTAAAAACGGCAAATTTTATTTTGACTAAACTTTCAAATTTTTTTTAAAAAAAGTGCACTAAAAGAACGAGGGGTTATTACGCGTAAATGTATATATAATCTTTGGTTTTCCATTTTAAATACGTGGAAGCCTATAATTAATTAGGGAATTAAAAATCTGATTTAAAGGAAATTAAAAGGTTTTGCGATATTAAAAAATAACAGTTGAAGGAATTGATTTACCGGTTTTTCTAGGATTTTTACTAAGATGAAATGATTAGTCATTTGCTTTTAATGATTTTTATTCTAGGCTGCCTTGAATAAATTTGAATTGTAAATACATCATAAGTATCTAAAATAAACCCATTGATGAAATAAAATGCATATTAAATATTAGTGTTTTATTCTTTTTTTGTAGAATATAAAAGCAGTATTATAGCTAACACATTTAATTTGGTAAATCGGTTAGTTATTTATCAGTCAAGTAAATTGACTGTTAATAAAAATGATTTCAAACCTTGCAGTATACTGGTGAGACCTTGTTCACCTACAGTTTTTATCTATTTCAATATCACCAATATTGATACAACTAACACTCTGATAGTAGTATAAACAATATAAAAGAAATAAATTGCCACTAAGATGAGATATAAGAGACGTCTGTTACATTTTTGTCACATGTACAAGATGCTGGCTCAATCTTCATTTTTCGCCTGTCGCATTGTTTTTGTCAAAAGTCTCTCATCTACATGTCAGCCCCATGTAACCTTGTTCTGTATCCGCGACTATTTCTAACTTCAAAATTTTCAGCATTCTAATGTTGAATACTGCTTAAACCGGTGCTATGGGGCGTGGACAAAAGCTGGCACTTTTCAGTACTGTCCATGAACGAGTTTAATCAAACCAAGCCTGCAACATTTTCAATTTTGCCGATTTGAACTTTCGATTGTGTTTGATAAAGCATGCCTTACATTTGTTTTGCCCCGAAGTAAAATGAATCGCCAAACAAAGTCTTATTTAGAATAGAGAACATAAGAATGAATACCTAAAGAAAGCCGAAATTGAAAATGGTGCA